GCCTTTGTGAGGGTGCAATTTCCTTTTTTCCTTTTTTCTTTCAGATGTTAACCAGAACCTAAGTATGCTTTTTCTGATACTTTGGGCTTTCTTACTCTTTCTCTACAGTACTGTCACATGCCACACAGCTGTTTATCTGCTATGTGTCTAACCTCCATGCCACACAGCTGTTTGTCTGCTATGCATCTAACCTCCATGCCACACAGATGTTTGTCTGCTATGCGTCTAACCTCCATGCCACACAGCTGTTTGTCTGCTATGTGTCTAACCTCCATGCCACACAGCTGTTTGCCCGCTATGCATCTAACCTCCATGTCACACAGCTGTTTGTCTGCTATTCGTCTAACCTCCATGCCACACAGCTGTTTGCCCGCTATGCGTCTAACCTCCATGCCACACAGCTGTTTGTCTGCTGTGTCTAACCTCCATGCCACACAGATGTTTGTCTGCTATGTGTCTAACCTCCATGCCACACAGATGTTTGTCTGCTATGCATCTAACCTCCATGCCACACAGCTGTTTATCTGCTATGCGTCTAACCTCCATGCCACACAGCTGTTTGTCTGCTATGCGTCTAACCTCCATGCCACACAGATGTTTGTCTGCTGTGTCTAACCTCCATGCCACACAGCTGTTTGTCTGCTATGCAGCTAACCTCCATGCCACACAGCTGTTTGTCTGCTATGCATCTAACCTCCATGCCACACAGCTGTTTGTCTGCTATGTATCTAATCTCCATGCCACACAGCTGTTTGTCTGCTATGTATCTAACCTCCATGCCTGCTTAACTCAAGTAATATGGCTTTGTTCCTTCTCTCCACTCCTCCACTTCCACTCAACTGTTGAGATTCACAGCTTGTCTGCACTGGAAGTTTTTCTTTTAAATTCTAATAAAAATTGTCCTCAAACTTTTCTTTTAGTCCATTCTTACATTCTTTTATTAATGAGACAGAGAACCCTAAGAGGGGATCCCCAAAGTTTCTGGAAACAGTGGAAATATACAGACAGCCTACTGATACAGAATCAAAATTGTACCTGACTGATATGAGGACTTTCATAGTTTCCTTGTTTTACCTTAGTATGAATATTAACGTTTTATACACAAAATTTAACACTAATATTTTATTGCATAATTCATCTAAATTTTAACATTAATATACTAATGTTAATATTACTTGATTATTTGGTGAAGACCTAACTACATTAGGGATTCTACAGTATATATGGCAATATGCTGTGTGTTACCTTTTTACATTCCAAATACTGAATTTCAAAACACATCTGACTCCAAGCATTTCAGATACTCACACTTAAAGAACAATGAGTTGGCTCCTTTTCAGAATATTCAGAACCATGTTACCCATAACACAGTATATGCTTCCTAGCACACAACTACTATTGAGTATCAGAATTGCAATACTGTCTTCAAGTTTTAATCTTAAAGACCCTTACAACAAATTGGAGACCATTTATTCTGTAATGTTTTTATGATTTGTTTATTCATAAAAATGAACCCCAAAGCTATTTACAACTAGGGGAAAATTATCAGATTATGAAAAAGTAATTTATAAGAAAATAAACTTGTTTTTCCTTTTACTCAACAGTGTGGGTAAAATGTATTCTTAGGAAAAGTTGGTATGCTTTATAAACATTGATTATTGTAAAATAAATGGTTACTCTGCCTAAAAAAAAATTAGAAATTAACATTGATATAAGGTTAGAAACTGCTGTCTTTCCTGAGTTAAACCTGGTTTTTACTACTTAATTTAAGAAGACTTTGAAATACAAGGCTCTGCCTATGTCCCTCTACATTTTGCAGACTACCAGTGATAATTATGAGCTGATGAAAGACTTGAAGGTACACAGCTTTTTGACAGAGCGAGGGAGGATTTATTCTACAAAGTTCTTCTCACCCTAATGTTTGCAACATGAATGCCCCTTTGCACCACCCTTCTGCATTCCTTGCAGTGCCAATATTAGCTTATCCAAGATAATGAATCTCAAGCTGAGTCCAAAAATAAGTTATAGCAGGAGTAACAGCCGCTAGATAAGCTGAATTCATAAACAAAAGACACAATGGAGCTGAAATGATAATAATTCCACCATTGAGCACTTACCATGTACCAGTTCTAAGCATCACTCATATTAACTCAAGCCTTCAGCATCCCTACAGGACTATCTCTCCAAAAATGAACTAGTAGCTGACACTTGAGTATTTGAATATATGGAGAGTTTTTGGTCATTGCAGTAACTAAAGAGATAAAACTGACATTAGTGATTGGGACCAGCAAGAAATGCTAAATCTTCTGTAATTTGTGACTTAGGCCTAGGGGGTGAGGAATTGACCCACCCCAAATGTAAATAACACTGTTAGGAACCACTCTCTTGCTGAGAACTTATGAATTTTCCAATATTGTTTTTTATTAAATTTCTCATCTTTTATAGTCTTTTGTATTTACCCAATTTGACTATATTTAGGAGTAAATGTGAGAATTGCTCTGAGCTTTCACCCAACAGATGAGCTGACTGAAGATTAAAATTCATTAAAGCCCCTCTTTATACTCTGCCACCAAAAGAGAGTGAAGAACAAAGAGGCTCAACGCACTAACTCTATCAACATCATGAACACAGTACTTTACAAGAACACACTATTTAATGACATTTAAGTTGTGGGTAAAATTTTTGTTAGTATATTTGTCCATGTAAAGCATTCTCAAAAAGAATTTTTTATTAGTCTAGTTGCATTAACATGAAGTAAGCAAATAAGACATAGAATTACCCTAGAACTAGACTTTGTGATCATGTAAAAGGCTAAGTGAAATTCATTTTCTTCATGTGGCCATGGCCTCCCATCTCAATTTAAATTAAATATTGCAAAAACAAATTTTCTTTTAGTAGCCACAGTGATTAGCAGGTAAAATTCAGGCTATGTTAACTCTTGAAATATTAGGAACAAGCCAATTAACAAATTAACTTCATTGACGCTCTAGTCTCCTATTTATTTCTGCCACTTTCATTTCTCAGTCCCTATTTCTGTGGAAGCAGAAATTAGAAGCTCTGTTTGCTATAAAATAAGTGATTGCCAGAATCTTAGCAGCCTCTATTTACCAGCTATGTGTGAAGAAGAGGGACGAGGTTGAGATTGCGGGTTAAGCCTCAAATTTAATCACCTAACAAGCTTGTTAAACCAGATTTATGGCTCAGTAGATCTACATGAGCACAGCAATTTGTAGTGCAAATAAACCTCCAGGAAATGGTGATGCTGCTGTAGAACTGATAATATTTCCATTAGCGTTTGATTAAGGTTAGGCTGAAAAGGAAGATTCCAAATTAAGAAAGCCATAACATAACAAGATAAGGTTAAAAACCCAGATTTTTCACAGGACATTTGTTTGGAAGATGCTAAAAATGTAAGACTTATCCCATGTTGGAATATTTAGGACACTTTATTTTTATATTTATACTTATTTTTTGTTTGTAATCATATGGTATTTGGGCTAATTTCTATATAGGAAGTTCTTTGTGCTTTTAAGGCTTAAAATGCTCCTGAGAAATATAATCATTAATCCAAAAGGTATAT